CTCTGTCAGCCATTAAGCTTTGCATTTGCTGGACTCTACACTCTTCTGCTTCCAGTCTCATGCCCTTGGTCTTTTCTTCGAACCTTGAGAGATCTGACAAACTTGCGCAGAATGATCACTGTGAAACAATGCAAACTATTTGTGGACTGCTCTAAACTCTAATGACTAAGTATTTCTTATAAAATTCTGTCTGGAATTGTCAGAACAAAGCAGTCTGAAATATTACACCGTTCAATTAGCTCAGGGATTGGACAGTGTCTGGTAGAATGATTAAATAAAGCCATATTGCTGTCTCTTAAAATATAAAAACAGATTGGGTCGACTAGCCATTGGAATTGGAATCTCATCAACACTAAGGAAAGTAGTCTGAAAAATATATTAAGAATATTGGGTACTGTTTTGTTTTGGAGACATGTGAAACGTTTAATAGAAAAACTGGTATTCTAAATTATGTTAAATAAAGTTGAATCAATTATAACATTTTAAAGAACTTTTTGCAAGAGTTTTAAGGTTCTGGGCCTGTTTAATATTTTGAATTGTGCTATCTCAAAGACATAGATTACAAATGAAGGCAAGCTGAAGGACACTTCTGGACTTATTAAGAAATTATCTTATTTTCTTACCTGATCTCCTCTTTTTTTAAAAAAAATGTCCTTTTCCTCTTGATTAGATTCAGAGAACTCAATTGTCTCCCTCTTTTCTGGGGTATTAGATGCCTCTTAATTTGATATCATCCGCAACTAATTTATGAAGGTCTCAAATAGTTCCCAATTCACCTAACAGTAGCTTTGGTGTGCATTTTCTGTCTAGTCAGCCCATTACAAATCCATCTAAGCAGCATTGTTTTCCCAAAATTTTCTAACTTGTGTACAGGAATATCATGGGAATGTTTTTGAAGGCCATACTGAAATGCTACTTCTTTTTCATGGTCTCCATGAATCACACAACTGGGTTTCAACTCCACATTCTCAGTTACATTGCCAGAACCATCTGAAATCACTAGGCAGACAAGTTTTTGGTGGTAACCCCACCCATCCTCTGTAGGGTATAAATATTGTGGTTGCTGCCAAAACCCTCAGTTACTTTTCATCTGTAGCTGCAGCAGCCTAGTAGAGAAACCTAAAGTCTACAGACTATTTCTTCGTCTTTGGCTAGTTTTTTCTTTGGACTTCTTCCCATCTTCAATCAGAGATCCAACCATCTCCAATCTTGGAATGGACATTGGACTGTCCGTTTCCCAAAGCGATGTCACCATCAACTTGTTTCAAGTGGTGTGTAGATCACAATGGCAAGGTACCAGATACGGACAGCCACAGCAAGTGGTGCCTTGTCTGCTTTGAGATCTGGGGCTCATCATCAACATATGCAAGTCGGTTCTTCAACCAGCTCACTTACTAAGCTTCATTGGTGTAATCATTGTCTGAAGAAGAAGAAGCCTACCCTTCAAGGAAAGACTTTACAGGATGTGCTTGATCATCCTTTAATTTCAGAGATGGCACAGACATCTGTAAGAGACATTCAAGTTTTTTGACCTCATGATTTTTTGTCAGTGCCCTCTACAGTTCTTCGTTCTTCAGATTGGTGGACTCTAAAGAATCACATATGTATTGGAATGACTTTCCACCTTCTTCAACCATCAGATGGCACCAGATCTCACACTAGAAGTGACTTGCAGTTTCCCAAGTTGCTCCTGACGTGGAAAAAAACACCATCAGATTTGTCTTTGACCTGTTTGGGGGCCTGCTGCACAAGTTTGACCATTCATGGACTCAGACCATCCATGGACTCAGACCAACACCACATACATTTTCTCGAGCTTCTCGCTGTTTTCAAAGCGCTCAAGGCTTTTGAACTTGATCTCACAGACCATGTATTATTATTATTATTATTATTATTTTATTTCGGGTATTTATACCCCACCCTTCCCAACCTCCTGGGGGGATCTCAGGGTGGCTTCCATCCGGCACATATTTGATGACTACAAGTAGACACAATAAAATACATATCAAAAACAATAATTATGAATAGTTAAACATAACATTAATACGATAAAATCTACTAAAAAGAGAAATCAAGTCTGGTGGCTGTTGTCTCACTGAGTTCCTTAGTTGAAGACTCCATTGAGCTTATACATAATCCGTTTCCATAGTAATTGTCTTCACTGTCATCGTCAAGTCTGCAAAAATTACCCGAAGGCCTGGTCCCACATCCACATTTTTAACTTCCTTCTAAAGGAGAGGAGGGATGAAGATGACCTGATTTCCCCAGGGAGTGAATTCCACAGGCGAGGGGCCACCACCGAAAAAGCCCTGTGCTTGGTCCCTGCCAACCACGTTTGTGACAAGGGCGGGGCCGAGAGCAGGGCCTTCCAGAAGATCTTAAACTCCTAGGTGGGATGTAGAAGGAGATACATATGGACAGGTACACTGGGCCGGAACCGTATACGGTTTTATGTAGCAATGTGGTATCTAAACAAACAAAGAAGGGCAAGATCTTCTGTTCTTCTGTATTTCACATTCAGAGTTTTGAATTGGTGCATTCCTCAAGGAATCCATCTGACAGCACTGCACTTACCTGGAGAACGAAACAAAGTGGCAGACACTCAGAGCCAATAATCAAAAACCTGCTATGAGTGGCATTTGCATGCGGAAGCACTGTTGCTGTTATTCCTGGAATGGGAAACTCCAGAAATGGACTTGTTTGCCATCAAGTCCATGATTTTGTGCTTGAATTCATGCTCAGTCGTTATGTCCATGTCTGGGGGGCATTTTTACTTTCTAGTGGAAAGTCAGGCTGATATACATCTTTCCACTCTTCCCACTCATTACCAGAGTTCTAGAGAAAATCATCGCGGACACCACAAGCTGTGTACTGATCATGCTGTGGTGGCCAAGATAGCACTGGGTCTCAACTCTGCTGTCTCTGTCGCAACCGGTTTCAGTTGTTGACCAAAAAGTCAAGTTCGACATCTACACCTCCGGACGCTAGAGTTAGGGATTGACTCACCTTTCATGTCTTACTTGCTGCTCACATACCATCCACTACTCACTCCAACTCATACAGTGTCTTGCCACCCTCAGTCTCATGTGTTGCAGCTTGCAGACATGAAACTGAAGGTTTTGGTGGAAACGACAGTATTTACGGTATATACTACTAGCGGTCCCCTGCCACACGTTGCTGTGGTCCAGTCTGGTGATCTGGAAAATAAAGTAATGAGAAAGTGTTGGTTTCTAATATATGTGATGTCTTTATGCTTGTGAGTAAACAGTATTTCTTGCTGTTTCTTTGCCAGTATTGACGTGTGGTTTGCCTTCTCTGGAACATGCAACATATCACTGTTCTTCTTTAGGGGTCCCTTTCAAATCTTTGATACTGCATCTGTCATATACATATGTGTGTGTGTATGAATGGCTGGATGGCCCTTTGTAAGGAGGGCTTTGATTATGTTTTCTTGCCCTGGTGAAGGGAGTTGGACTGGATAGCCTTAAGGCAGCATTTCTCAACCTGGGGTTTGGGTCCCCTGGGGGGGGGGGTTGCAAGGGGGTGTCAGAAGGGTTGCCAAAGACCACCAGAAAACACAGTATTTTCTGTTGGTCATGAGGGTTCTGTGTTTATTAGATGGATACGTTTAATGACATTCATCACATTATGCTCCGGCTTCAGTGTGAGACAACAGAATTTTGAAATATGAAACAAATTACGTGGTTTTCTTGCAAGCTTATGCATTTTGGTTTAACCTACCAGTGCTTATTCAAATAATTTACATTTGGGTTAAAAAGATTTATAATAAATTACTTTATATGTATATCTGTCACATACATCACTTAGATTACTGTGAAAGGGTTTTTATTAAACCTCAGAAAATATATTTAGTTACGGCCAAAAGAGGGAAGAGAAACAAAAATACCCTTCATTAACAGTTTTAACACTTGAGATATAAATATCCGAAATGTATTGTTGATAATATTAGTACAGCTAGTAAACATTGAAATATGAAACTCAAAGACTCATCACCCACTGCTTTCATGTGAAATGTAAAAACAAAATAAATCAAAGCACTTCAGTCTCCCAAACAGATTTCTTTTGAGCCAAAGTTTACACATCTATAAAATAACAATCTAAGGATTGTTAGACCTACATGTCTGGCATGAGGACTGGAAAACTATCCATTTGGAAAAATGAGATGAGCAGTGTAACAGAGTGCAGCAGACTTATTTTCTTCATGGCTGTACACCACCTAAACCAGATGTTCTATACATTCCAACATTCAGTCTAAGGTGATATGCTTCTTTAATCAAGGTGAAATCTAGAGGAACGTTTTTTGGCTATGCAGGACCTCCACCATAAACCTAACAGTATTAATTATACAGCTAGACTAAATCACAGTACGGCCCCATTGTCTGTGGAAGATACAATCCTGATCTTACTGTGAAAACAGGAAACGGTAGATAATAGCAAACCCTATTGAAGTGAATGACTTCCACCGAAAGTTAGCTTAAGGCAAAATTTATTTATTTCGTATCAAAAGCACTGCATGAATTAGTTTAAAACTGATAAAAATAGAAGGACCATATGCAGCTAAATAACCCTTTTCCCTAGTTCCAACAGATCTCACTACCACTGAGGATGCTTGCTATAGATGCAGGCGAAACGTCAGGGGAGAATGCCTCTAGACCATGGCCATATAGCCCGAAAAAACCTACAACAACCCAGTGAATAATAAATAATTTCTCTAGGCAACTGATGCAAATTTGCATTCTTTTGAGTAGGTTTCATAGCCATATTGCTCAATGAGTTCTGATTGCCAGTTCTTGGAAATGTATTTTCCATCTAAAACTGTGTGTCTGCATGTGGCAGTGTTTCATAAGCATTTTAGGCAAGCACATATATGTGATTAACTCTTGATTCCATCTGTTACAAAGCTTTACAAGTTGTCTGAACACCTTTCCCCGCATGGAGTTTTCCAGCCTAACTTGCAGCATTCTTCAATGTTTTTTCAGGATCACTTGTTGTTGCCTGCTACTACCCATAATAAGACCAGAAGACCAAAGATGTCAATAGTGTTACCAGCAATAAACATCAGTGGTGAGTATTGTTGGAGAAGAAGCTGATGTTTTCCTTATTTTTTTTAAAAAAGTCAAGGTCTCGGGGACAATGTACAATAGAACAGCAATTACAACTTCTTGCAAAGCAAGGTAACATGGGAGCAAAAAAACAAAAGCAAACACAAGAACATTTGAGTGTAACATTAACACTAAAGAATCAGAAAACACTATATAGAATTAAGCACCAAATGGAACAAAACAGTCTTCATTGCTAATTTAAAACAGCATACCAAGCAGTTAATCTGGAGACTAGAATTTAGAGCAATGGGTTCAAATTATAGAAATGGAAATTCCTCCTGAACATTAGGAAGAACTTTCTGGCCATAAGAGTTGTAGAACTCACTGCCCCAGTGTGTGATGGAAGCTCCTCCTTTGGAAGCTTTTAATCAGAAGCTGGATGGCCATCTGTCTGGGGTATTTTGCATGGCAGGGGGTTGGATCATATGGCCCTTGTGGTCTCTTTCAACTCTGGAGTCTCACTTCATTTAGAAGGGAGTTTCACAGTAGAGGTGTTACTATCAAAACAGCTGAGTTTATGCTCTCACTATGTCTGAATCTACAGCAGTGTTGCTCAACCTGGGTGTCGGGACCCCTAGGAGGGGTCGTTTGAGGAGTCGCCAAAGACCATCAGAAAGCACCGTATTTTCTGATGGTCATGGGGGTTCTGTGTGGAAAGTTTGGCCCAATTCTATCATTGGTGGGGTTCAGAATGCTCTTCGATTGTAGGTGAACTATAAATCTCAGCAACTACAACTCCCAATTGTCAAGGTCTGTTTCCCCCAAACTCCACCAGTGTTCACATTGTGGTGTATTGAGTATTCGTGCCAAGTTTGGTCCAGATCCATCATTGCTTGAGTCCACAGTGCTCTCTGGATGTGGGTGAACTACAACTCCCAAACTCAAGGTCATTGCCACCAAATTCTTACAGTATTTTCTGCTGGTCATGGGAGTTCTGTGTACTAACTTTGGTTCAATTCCATCGTTGGAGGAGTTCATAATGCTCTTTGGTTGTAGGTGAACTATAAATCCCAGCAACTACAACTCCCAATTGTCATGGTCTATTTACCCCAAACTCCACCAGTATTCAAATTTCGATGTATTGAGTATTCGTGCCAAGTTTGGTCCAGATCCATCATTACTTGAGTCCACAGTGCTTTCTGGATGTGGGTGAACTCCCAAACTCAAGGTCATTGCCCACCAAACCCTTCCAGTATTTTCTGTTGGTCATGGGAGTTCTATGTACTAACTTTGGTTCAACTCCATTAAGTATTTGTGCTAGGTTTGGTCCAGATCCATCATTGCTTGAGTCCATAGTGCTCTCTGGATGTAAGTGAACTACAACTCCCAAACTCAAGGTCATTGCCCACCAAACCCAGTATTTTCTGTTGGTCATGGAAGTTCTGTGTGCTTTGGTTCAATTCCATCATTGGTGGAGTTCAGAATGCTCTTTGATTGTAGGTGAACTATAAATCCCAGCAACTACAACTCTCAAATGACAAAATCAAATACCCCCCTCCCCAACCCCACTAGTATTCAAATTTGGGTGTATTGGATATTTGTGCCAAATTTGGTCCAGTGAATAAAAATACATCCTGCATATCAGATATTTACATTACAATTCATAACAGGAGCAAAATTACAGTTATGATGTAGCAACAAAAATAATTTTATGGTTGGGGGTCCCCACAACATGAGGAACTGGATTAAGGGGCATTAGGAAAGTTGAGAAACACTGGTCTACAATTATCTTACCATTCTGTTGACAGATGAGAGCTGTGTATTTTCAGCATGTCGAGAGTATCCTAGCTCCAAGTGCTGAATGATCTTTTCTAGGACGGCTTGGAATTCATAGGCCAAAGGCCAAGATCAAGCATAATCTCCCATCACCATCTTCTAGGAATATGTAACCACATTAGAATGGAATGACAATGAAGGAAATCCCATAGGAGGCAATCAGAGCAGCAGGGTATTACAGGCAAATTTGAATTCTTTTATTTTACACAGATCATCCTGATTTTGTCAGACTTAATGCGGACAAAAGTCTTGTGCAAAGCACTGAAGCTGAACCCCCAAACTGGAAATTTTATTCCAGCAATCCTCTGATACTTGAGATTCACACACTCTCTGAACATTTTCTCTCTCGTGAGAGAGTAAAACTGGATATTCTTTTAATGATAGCTGGGATTCTCAAGAGGCCGTATTTCATGGCCAATTCCTCTGTGTTCCCATGGAGTGCTGTAATACACAAACCCTGCTTTTATTGTCTAAGACAAAAACAGAATACCAGCCATGAATTACGACCTGCCAGGTGCTTAGCCCACCGCATTTGTAATCCCAGTCAGACAGCCAAAAAGGGGGTGGTTGGTGGAGTGAATTTGGTTTGGTACAGGCATGTCTTAAAAGTACCTTGGCAGCTGTTTCCTATATCACTTATAGTAGCTGACAATGCTGGGAAACAGTTGCAGCAAATGGGAAAATAGAACAGCCATGCTTGTGTTTCATTTTTTGTGGCACTTTGTGCATGCTCTATCTGCCCCTCACGAACCCCTCCAGTATTTTAAGATGGATCATGAAAGATATGTGTACAAGATTGGTCGAGATCCCTAGTCAGTGGAAATGAAGTAGCTCTCCGGATGTTGGTTAACTCCAACTCCCATCATTCTTTATTGAAACCCCCTTACTCCAACCCATATTGTAAGTTGGATCATCAATGGTATGCAGGGGCGGCTCAACCCATTACGCAAAGTAAGCATTTGCAGTATAGTTGATTTTGCGCAGGGGCGCTCTTGAGGTGCTCTTGGGGGAAAATAGACCTTGACATATGAGTTGTAGTTACTGGGATGTATAGTTCACCTACAATCAAAGAGCATTCTGAACTCCACCAATGATGGAATTGAACCAAATAGGGCACACAGAACTCCCACGACAAACAGAAAATATATATCATGATTGGTTGGGGGGGGGGAATACTGTTTGCTTACCGTTGAAAATTATTATTATTATTATTATTATTATTATTAGTCCTGAAGGACTAGGGCCACCTCTGATGGTATGTGTAGCAAGTTTGGTCCAGCTCTATTGTAGATGGGATTCACACAGCTCTCCAAATGTGCCTGGACTCCAATTCTCATTATCCTCATCCTAAAACCTGGTTGGACTGCAATTCCCATTAACCCAAGATCTGGTTGGGTGCAACATCCATCAGCTCCAGATCTGGCCAGTAGCAACTCCCATCAGGTCCAGATGTGACTGGGCTGCAACTTGCAGCTTGTTGCACTCCAGGACAGGAAAAGCCCTCTGACTTTAAACACCACACCATTGGATGGAAAATATTTATTTATTTATTTACTTTATTTGTATACCGCCGTTTCTCAGCCTAGCCGGCGACTCAACGCGGTTTACAACAGGATAAAATCAGTCAACAATATACAATTCAAACAGAAGAGCACAGTACACAATATTACACAACAGCAACAACCCAATGCATCTCATAACTAGAGTCGTGATCCAAAATTCATCGTCCATATTTCAATTCCTGTGATCGTCACATTCATTGCACTGATTAATCAAAGGCCTGTTCGAACATCCACGTTTTTAATCTTCTACGGAACACCATAAGCGAGGGAGCTGATCTTACCTCCATGGGAAGGGCGTTCCACAGCCGAGGGGCCACCACAGAAAAGGCCCTGTCTCTCGTCCCCGCCAGCCGCACCTGTGAAGCAGGCGGGATAGAGAGCAGGGCCTCCCCAGAAAATCTTAGGGTCCTGGCGGGCTGATAGGCAGAGATACGTTCGGATAGGTAGCTTGGGCCAGAACCGTTTAGGGCTTTAAAGGCCAACGCCAGCACTTTGAATTGAGCCCGGTAGCAAATCGGCAGCCAGTGGAGCTGGCGCAGCAGAGGAGTGGTGTGCTCCCTGCGCTCCGCTCCTGTTAGTATCATGGCTGCCGAACGTTGGACTAGTTGAAGCTTCCGAGCCGTCTTCAAAGGCAACCCCACGTAGAGAGCGTTGCAGTAGTCTAAACGGGATGTAACCAGAGCGTGGACTACCGTGGCCAAGTCAGACTTCCCAAGGTACGGGCGCAGTTGGCGCACAAGTTTTAACTGTGCGAATGCTCCCCTGGTCACCGCCGAAACCTAGGGTTCCAGGCTCAGCGATGAGTCCAGGATCACACCCAAACTGCGAACCTGCGTCTTCAGGGGGAGTGCGACCCCATCCAACACAGGCTGTAACCCTATACCCTGTTCGGCCTTACGACTGACCAGGAGTACCTCTGTCTTGTCTGGATTCAATTTCAATTTGTTCGCCCCCATCCAGACCGTCACAGCGGCCAAGCACCGGTTCAGGACCTCAACAGCCTCCTTAGTAGCAGGTGGAAAGGAGTGACAGAGTTGGACATCATCTGCGTACAGATGACATCGCACTCCGAAACTCCGGATGATCTCGCCCAGCGGCTTCATGTAGATGTTAAACAACATGGGAGACAGTATTGAACCCTGAGGAACCCCACAAGACAAGGGTTGTGGGGTTGAACAGGAGTCTCCCAGTAACACCTTCTGAGACCGACCCTCAAGGAATGAGCGGAGCCACTGTAAAACAGTACCTCCAAGACCCATCCCCGCGAGGCGTCCCAGAAGGATACCGTGGTCGACGGTATCGAAGGCCGCTGAGAGGTCCAGCAGCACCAACAGGGACACACTCCCCCTGTCGAGCTCCCGGCGCAGATCATCCACTAAGGCGACCAAGGCTGTCTCGGTACCATGCCCCGGCCTAAAGCCAGACTGTGCCGGATCCAGATAATCTGTGTCTACCAAGAATGGAGTTGTGAGGCCACCACACGTTCCAGGACTTTGCCCAAAAAGGGGAGATTGGAAACAGGCCGATAGTTGACGAATTGAGTGGGGTCCAGTGATGGTTTTTTCAACAGCGGTTTTATACAGCTTGCTTTAAGCTGGCTGGAATTTTGCCTTCCCGAAGGGAG